TTAGCATATAAACATCAGTTGGGACCTTTAAAATTATCTCAAACATTACAAGGACACGCAACAAGTCAAAATTTTTGACATCTGAAAAAGCGCGGTTGTTTTCAAAATTTGAGAAACTTAAGTGGAGTTGATTCCTTCGAAACCTTACAGAAAGTACTGTAAAAATAACTCTTTTCTGTTTTCGAAATTCTTCTCTCACACGTCGCTTTGCATTGATGGAATGAAATCAGTAAATCAATTGATTTATCTGTGAGCGAGTCTATCGACATTTGGCGTAAACTATACTCCCACTTCGCAGCGGTGTTGCACCTCGAATGCAGAACCTTAGGTGTGACTGGTACCGCCAGTAATAATGCGGTACCGTCGAGAAACGCGCGCGAGCCACATTTTTTATTCTAATACAGTTTGCTGCAGACCAGCCAGTTTTCTAAGTGTTTACCATAAACTACAAGTGCACGTACAAGGATAAGTTGTGAACTCTTCCTATCTAAGTAGGCACGCAATGTCCTATGCCATTAATTTAATAAGAACTTATATTCTTACAATTGGATGCGAAATCAATATGCTTCAAAGATCGTTTTTTTTTTTCAATTTTCTAGTTACATAACATGCTTGGATTAAAAATTAAAATGGTTTAGGAATATGGTCCGGCGATTGTAAATTTGAAAGTTTTAAATCGAAGGTTCCAGGTGTTATCAATATTTCCACTTTGAGTTTCAATTTTTAAAAATTTGCAGTATAAAAAAAGATTCGGAGATGTATTCATTATCGTTTGGTGGACCCGCCATCATTTGGATTTTACTCGTTCCAGTTACTCAATTAGTGCAACACATGAGCATTAGCCAGATTCTTTTTTATTGAGGTTTGCAGGCAGCAAAATATTTCGTTTGTTATTTAGCTCTTTAGATTCTACAGTGGATCGAATACCGCTACAGTATGGGTAGTTTAAAACAGTGTCAATTTGACCATGCAATTGCACCAAAACGCATTATTTGAAATGAAAATAAACCGAACCTGAAGATTAACAAAAGTAAAAAACATTTCAAAACACTTTTATTTGACGACTGTACATAATTTACGAAAAAAATAACATATCTGCAGTTTTGGTATTTGTTGTTCATTATCTAAAAACAATTTTCTTATCCACTAGCTGAAACCTTGCTATCTGATGTCCAGTCAGCGTGTAATTTATATGCATGCTTTGACGTTCTTTCAATATTTGATCTTTTTAGCGTGACTTCACCTTCCACCTTTCTACTTTAATTTTTTTCTTAAAAATGAAGCCTATTTTCAGACTCTCAACAACATTCGTCTAAATTCAAACCTAAAACCCAAAAAGTCTTGGACCAAATTCTCTTTACGTGCATCATTTACAAACATTGCTTAGCTATGATCACCAAAAAATGTTGAGTTATCTTGCGAGATATGAAAATTAAACAAAAATGGTGCAGTTTTGTCAATGTTAGCAAAAATGTGTTAATACTATACGTACTACAGAAAGATGCTTATGATACTTCAGACTAATTTATATCAAAAACATTTATCCATTAAAAATATTCCGCACTAACCAAACAAACAAATGACATTTACAGGCAAAGAACAAAATATGCCCGATTTGAACTCATAATACTTAGAGCTAACGATCAAATGTTTTATCTAGTTTTCCCTGCAGGATAAAAATGAAAAACTAACCAAAACTAATGCGTCAATACAATTAACTTTATATCTGGAAATTTTTCTTTCTTTTAAATGTCCGGAAATGCATCAATTTTTTAGTTATGATTAATTTTTTAATATATTATATTTTGTATTTAAATTTGAATTTTAGGAATGTACAGAGTGCTTTAAGAAAAGCTAGTTTTATACTTAATGTTTCTCGCAATCTGTCGGAGTTTCCGTCAACACTATTAGGTGTCGGTCTAAGTTATCTCTCAGCGTCTCATTTTTTTTTATCTCAGTTATTGAAATAAATACGCAATTTACCATATACTTCAGGAATAGTACAAAATTATTTAAATGAGGTAACTATTGAGACCTAGGACTGGCCTTCATGCTGTCAGGAGCTCAATCCAATAGAATATTTATGGGATCATATGGGAAGGTGGAATAGATATCATCTTTACCCCCCTGCCTATTACATTTGAGACTATATTCTATATTTCATTTCATAAGTACGATAACAACGAGAATAAATTCTTATTTCAAAATGCTGAGAAAAACACACCTAATAGTGGTGACGAGTTCCCACATAATGTAACAAACATTGATTATAAAGCTGAATTTTCGTTAGACACTCTGTACCGTGCGTTCAATTTATCATGATAACATTTCAATTGTCTGTAATTTTTTTTTGTTTTTAGAGATATCAAGGCAAACAAAAAACCAAAATGAAGGGTTAGTAACCAAGTTTTTTTCCAAGCGACGTATAAAACACTATCAATTTTCTGACGTATAAGCCTACATAATATTTTTAAATGCAACAACTTGTATATCAGTGGTGGGGAAACTTTTTTTTAAGACGGGCTATTTGTAATAACTAGACGATCGTAGCGGGCCAAAGAATAGTGCTTAATCGTTAAAAAATGTAGGTGTTTTATAAACATATACATGTATTATTACATACACTTATTATTTTAATAGTAAAAAAGCAAAATCTAAGAAAATTATACGCACAAAATATGAAATGAATTTAGTGTAGTTCTTGCTGTGAAGTATTATCACTTTATTTTCTGGTATCATTACTGGTTGATGGTGCACGAGAAAAATGAAATTGAGACTGTTTTATCAAAACATTCTCACGACGGCACTCTTCAACGAGCCGGATTAAACCTTTACGCGGGCCGGACTTGGACTGTATATTATATACGTGTTTAATAGAATATCTTATTCCGATTATAATGGGGTAACACGCTTTATATTTTAGTCCACTCGTTTTTGACAAATCGCCAAAAATAGTAAATTTTTACATAATTTTAAAGAGTGCCGTCACTGACTGCAACAACAATGATTATTTACAAATTAAAATAGAACAAAAACACTAAAAATGACAGGACACACTAAAATAAAAAATTCTATTCTAAATATGTATTAAATGTAATTAATTGTATGATGTCGTTCATTTAGTAACGTTTCCGAATTGTCTCTGAAATCCTTTGCCGAAGTTCCACGAGATTATTACAAGGAGTTCCATGCACGTGATTTTTTATGTCCATTAAAGTTATGTCGGGGCTGTTGGTTGGCCAATCCATAGTTTCGCCGTTCCCTATCCAACCCTTGGGATATTCCATGTTAAGAAATTTTTTTACTTGCACAACATTGTGAGGGGAGGCACCGTCTTGCTGCCATATTCAGCCATGATATATTTAGGGGTAAATCTTCTATAAATTGTTCTATTTGGTGCTCTAAGAGTTACAAATAATGATAATGATAATGAGTTAACTTTTGATCTATTAATATCGGACCCAAATAATGCCATGACACCACTCCATACATTGATTGGTACTCCTGGGTTTTGATTTTGTGTATTTGTCTAACATTATTTAAAGGCCAATATCGCGTATTTTATCTATTACAACCCTTTCTTGTAGTGAACGAACTTTCATCAGTCCATAAAATGTTTTTCAAAAAATTGTTATTCTCATTATGTCTATTTAAAAAATCTTCTGCACTTAGTTCTTGAGTTTTACGAAATTTAAATGCATTATATTTATATTCTTTCAAAACTGAGTGGATTGATCCCTGAGAAATACCTGTCCCTTCATATACTCTAATAATAGAAGAAACTGAATGTGCTTCATAGAATCTTAATATGTTTGCCTAATTTGTTTCATTTAGAACAATACGATTTCGGTAACGTATTAAATGCTAAAAAGGTATTAGCATTTAATACGTTGCCGTTTTCTGCAAATTTCTTTGCCAGCATTGGAAATATCTGTTTTGAAGGAGCTCGGCGATCTGAATAATGTCTAATATGCTGACGATGCCAGTTTTATTAGTCAGAAAGTATACTTGAAGCATATCACTCCTTTCACGGATGCTAAATTCGCGAAAAACCATTTTAATGTCAACGTTTTTTAATATGTCAAACATAAATATATTTTTATTTGTCATTGAAATTATATAAATTTTTCCTATTTTTGCCGATTTTTCAAAAAGTGGACTAGAATATAAAAAGTGTGTTACACCATTATAATCGGAATAAGATATTCTATTAAACACATATAATATACACTGTGTTCCATTTAAAAAAATATTATGCAGGCTTACATTTCAGAAAATTGATAGTGTTTTGTATTATACATAACTTGAAACTTGACTACTAGATTTTATTTTTTGTTTACCTTGATATCTCTAAAAAAAAGTTACAGTCAATTAAAATGTTATCAAGATAAATTACACGCACGGTACATGCCTAAAACTTAATTTTAAATAAAAATGTTGTAACAACAATTCAAAAAAATATATCCAAATCGAGTCAACAGTCTATTGACTTGCGACCTGCATTCCTCGTATTGTTAGTTTATTTACTTGAGGAATGTTTTTTGAGAATTAATTTGTGGCCATGTAAAAAGTAACTCGAGAATTACAAAATGCGAAATTATGAAAATACATCTACATAAACAAAATAATTCATATAATATAATTTTTCACATTCACATGAGATCTTTATTAATGTTTGTGTTCTTTTAAAACGAAGTGTTACTGTGACAGGGCCAACTTGAATTTTTCAAATCATCTTCTGCCACGTTGCAAAATTACACACAAACAAACCAAAATAAACGCTTAATAAGCTATCAACAAGTGTATTTTCTTTTTATTTATTTATTTAAGCAAGAAAGGAAACCGACAGCTGTCCAGTTACTTATTCCTTGAATTTTCTCTCAGTACGTCGATTTAGACCTTACTTAATTTATTTATTTTGTTTATTGTTCCGTTTTTTTTTTTTCGTGTTTATATTATATTTTATGAGATTATTTTAAGTTATCCTTAATTCTTTGAAGGTATTAGATTCACGAGCTCGAACAGGACTCAACGGTTCCCTACATCAACAGGCCAGCAGACAATTGGAAGTATTTCAGAGTAACGGCCCAGGCGCAAGGCTACAGGTAATCAAAACGCATACCGTATCCAGTAGCAGATGGAGTGGAAAACTAAACGGACCGTCCGATATAATAGGAGACTTTGAAGGATTACAAGTAAGTAGCAAGTTCTTAAAATTGGTCAAATTATCTCAAACTATGAAATTTATTAAAATAAGTTGGTATTAAAATTGCCACGGTTAGTAGACCATCATAGACAATAAGAGTTTTTTAAGAATATGTGTAGATCAAGAACGATTGTACTTTTAAAGTCGTCAAAAAAAATCTTATAAACACAGGTCACCAAACGCTTGTCTTTCGAGATGCTTTTCAAAAGAGTTTATTTTAATTTAAGTAAACTAAAATAAATTATCTTAAGAACTATTATCCCAACAATTATAGCATTTATAGTACACCACTTTTCTTTATTCAAAATTTGGTATATAAAAAATGTTTTATGAAAATGTGCAGTTTGAGACAGAGAAAATAGAAAAAAAACACCTTTGACGAATGTTTAAAATCATTTTTTTGTTTTTAAACATACTTAAGTCAAAATTCGTGTAATTTTAGATTTCAACTCATCAAAAGAGAAATTGCTAACCATCCCAAAAACTGTCAAGAAACATTTTATTTTTAGAACGATTTCTCAAAAAAACTTGCATATCTAGTAAAAATAATTATATTTTGAGAATCGCGACTCTTGAAATAAGTTAAGAAAGTTTAAGCATGTAGGCACGGGCTTTACCAAAACTACTTGAAGTTTAATATAGGATCCGAATGTCATATAATGGCGCGTTTAAATTCCAATACTGCAAATGTATACCAAAAAGTTTCAAGTTTTTGCATTGATCCATGTCCACTAAAAAATATCTTTTGGTCGTAATTAACCATTCACCTGAATAAACCGCAAAGATTAAAAATGGGCTCTCTCATTATTGCCGTACTTTTAATACAGTTACCTTTCTATCTAACGTCACATTTATTAATTTACTGAAATTCAATATGACAACGTTCTACTTCATTAACCTGCTTCTTGTACATACCGTGAAGTTGCCTGCAACATTTACTCTATTTATTTAACGGTCGACTTTGTAATTTATGCTAAATAAGATAACCACCTACGCGTTTCGCTTTTAGATGTTGTAACAATGGCTTAAAAGAAAGTCAAATTAAGCATCGACATGTGTTATATGTGTCATGTCGCTTTTCATCGTGGGCGAATCTTCGTAGAAAACGTTACGTACGGGCCGTCTAACCTAAATCGATGGTTAGTTAAGTAAAATGACAATCCAGATATTCCACAAGAAATGTACACTAATTTCTGTACATATAATAAAAAAATCATCACAAGAACTTTCTAGCTCTCTATAAACACTGGGTTTACTTAGTGGTTTTATTAATTAATATTCACCCTCTACCCACTGTTACGACCTATTTCAAACATCTAAAACGAAAAAAAAAATTAATGAAGTAGTTTGTGTAGGTCTTATTTAACTAACTATTTGTTGCTAGCATTATTTTTGAATATTACTTACATAATACTAAGTGTTTAATTCTGATTCAATTCAATGTGACTCCAGAAAATAACACATTTGCAAAATTTCACCTTCATTATATGCAGACTGTCCAGCGTATGTCAGTTAGGCTCGTCGTAGACACTGCTCAATTCAGATATAACTGGGCACAAATAAACTTTTGATGTATTGACGTTTCTTTAATTAAATTTTGCAGCTAATTGGAACTCTAAACGTTGGTAAATAGAAACAATGTTTTTTGTACCTTATTTGCCTATTCGTCTAACCTTAAGTTTCTTAAGTATCTCGCCAGCTAGTCTAGTCTCGAGATCAAGTATTAGTATTATTGGAGTATGCATGTCTAGCACGCATACCTAACCGACCTGTTGTTTTGTAGCTTACGGTGAACCCATTAGATGTAACTTCCCAAAAAGCCAAAGCATCAGTAGCCAGAAGCGCCATAAGACGCCCTCCGACTAGGCAACGTCCTCAGAATTTGTCCAGGTCTCCTCCGATCGATCTCAATCACCAGTTCAAAGATCCCCATTTCACCGCAGCGGCGAACCTTCACAGGGTATCCAGATTATGCCATCAAATCCATGAAACCGCAGTCAGACAAGCGTTCGGGAGGACATCTGCAGACACAGACGTTGCATCATCGGAGAGGGGGAGCGGAGATGGCAATGCTAGCGGTGTCGAAATTGTCGAAATTGAAAGCGTCACTCCCTCTAGTGGTGATGTGAGTGATCGGTCTAGTTTAACGCGAACTAAGAGTATTAGTAGTGAAGATCTACATGTAAGCGAGAAGGTATCAAACACGAACAAATTGGAAGATATACAATCCTGGAAGAGGTCCTCCAAGATTCGCCGTAGTCTACCCTCTTCGATTCAAAACAATAATTCAGCTGCGGCGAAGATAGATTTTCCGCAAAGCGTGGTCAGCGTAAAAAAAATACGCGAGGAACTGGAAAAAGATAAAAATCTTAGCACAGCGTTAACAGGCAATGCTGCTAATCTAACCTCGTTCGACCAAATTACCCAGATCGCTTCTATAAGCAATTCGGACGACAACGGAGCCGAAGATACTGTAGAAGATCAGGAGGTTCATCCCAAGCCGAAACAGAAAAAAGATTCATTTGTGACAGTTGAGTCAATACAAGAAATTAAAAACAGGTTAAAAAGTACTGATTCACCTACGTCCATGTCGACCAAGAAAGAAGACGTTGATGATGGGATCGACACAGAAGACCACAGAGACGAAGAATCTCAGTCTAGCCATAATCGGGTAAAGTCTTACGTGTTCGGCATGGAGGCAAAACTGCAGAAGAAGAAACCGTTGATAAGTACCGGCAGCCTCGAATCTAAATCCAAAATGGCTAATGGAAACGCTAACCACCGAAATGAAGACTGGTACAATAGAAGAAAATCTTACGGATTTGAACAAGTTCACAACGAAGATGAGTCGAATTCGTTCAAGACCAGAAGTCGAGTAGAGTCTTCCACTGACAGCGGTATATGTAGATCAAGTGATATAGATCATCCGGCAAAACAAGCAAATGGGAAATACGATTCTAGTTCTGATAACGATGTAGAAAAGCAATCCACTTCTAACGATGACAAAATCGGCAGTGGGATAAGTTATGGCAACGTTAGGAAAATGACCAGCATATTTAATCAAGGCAATTTTGATGCCACTACTTCACCTGCTAGTTCCTGGACAAAAACCCTGTTCACTGATTGGAAATCTACTGACAATAAGTCGACGGTAACAGTCCCCGTTGTCAGGAGTAACTTAAACGAGCTTTCTTGGAATAACGACCCGGACAAAGAGGTCAAGCGTCACTCGATAGCCGTAGACGATGTAAAATTTACAGCGAAATCGGCAGAGGGCAAATTTAGGAGGTCCAGTTTGGTGTCTGCGGATCACTACCCGAAATGCGAAAACTTAGACGACGAGAACGTCGGCAACAATCGGAAACCGAAAAAAGTGGAGTTTTGTAAGACCGAGATTCATTTTGCTGCAGATACCGGTAAGGTAAATATCGTAGAAACGGATGAAAAGCCGCCCCCCACTCACAATTTTCGGAGACGGCGGAGAAATTCAGGAACCAATTTCAATCCGGACTTCAACAAGAACGGCCTTCCAGTTTTGCATTTTGGCGATAGTACTGATGAAAAATCGATGTTTGGTGTTAACTACAGAGACTCCCCAGATCATTTTGCCACATACGAAAACTTGCAGCCTAGAGTGCCCCCATTGCCTGAAGTCGTAGACATCGCGACCGACGTTGATAGCTTTGTGGATTATAGCGAGGTGGAAAAAAAAGAACTGGAAAATCTCAAAGGCATTCTGAAAAATAAACCGGTGAAACCGAAACCGTATCATCTGGGTGACATACCGTTTTCAAATTCGGACGAGGAAACCCAACCCTGGGGCTCGCAGCTTAGGGTTGCGAATGTAGAACCGCCCAAATGGAGATCCGTAGTGACAGTGCAGAATTCTTACGATGGTGTTCCCGATGAAACCAATCAACAGACCGAGTTTCAGAAGCTGTTAAGAAATCTGCGACCGACCAAATTGCCTAGTTACGCGGCGGACAGTGATAACCAAAATTTGAACCGTTTTGCCAACGTCAGAACAATTCCGGTTGCCATCGATCACGATGTTTCCGCGAGCGAATCTCGCAATGAAAAAATCTATTCGACAAGGATAAACATCGAAAACAGCCAAGCGAACGCACAAGAAAATAGAAATGAAATTAACAACGATTTGGCGAAAGGTAAGGTTTTTTATTCGCTGACCCATTTAATGCGCACCACAATTTACAGCCAGTATTATTTTTTCAGAAAATTAAACTGCATGTCTTAAAATAAAGTAACTAGAGCTCCTTCTCTTAAGGTTAATTTTGATAATAACTGGCTTTAATTATAGAACATGTTTTATCACTCTTTTATCAATAAGTGCGAAGGTGTATAAAAATCCCCATTGTTTAAGAACGGAGATAGCTGGAACGAAAAAATCAACCAAATGAGTTAAAAAGAAAATACAAAGTTAAAGAGTCTTGTCAAATATCAAAATTTTCGCTTGATTTTTTTCATGTTTGGAAATTCTCGTTCAGCATAAAAACAGCTCGTTCAGCATAACACTCCAAAATTGTGTCTGTTAATATGGTTTATTAAAAGTAGCATAGCATAAAGTTGAATAGGTAGGGCAAGAAAGTTTAATTAAACCGCTTGCAGCAAAGTTACTAAGACGTTTCCGAAATGTTTGAAAATTGGAAGTGGGAAAATGCAAAACACTTTAGTAAGACTTTTTTCGATCTCGATTCTATTTCACGCAAGTTTAATATATAGTCGTTAATAACGGCTGAGCAACAATACAATCAACAAACAATATTTCCCTTAATATGCAAGGAAGTTCAATATTTTCATTATCATAAAAAATAAAAAAAAGAAAAAAATGCAAAAATGCAAAAAAAATTCTCATGCTAAATATTGGATGTTTTTTAAAGTATCTCCAAAGTGTTTATGGTAGAAATCACTGTAATAGAAATGTTGCAGCGGATACTCAACTAGTCTATTTATTTCAAATTTACTGTGTTAAAAACGGTTTACAAAAAACTATCAGTTTATACTACTTAAAACAATTTTTTAAATCAAGTTTAAATTTATTCTCGAGGTACACTACTTTTTTAATTGGCCCATTGCTATTTTGCAATAAATATTTTATTATTTATTAACTGTTTTTTAAAAATATTTTTATATTAAAAAGAAAAAAAGAATAAAACGACACCATTTATTGCGAAATTGCGAATTTTTACTTTGGTAACGACATAAACACAATATTATGGCCAATTCGAATAAAATATAAAAATTTGATACCGAGCTGGTGAACTTCCATGGACTTGTAAACTACCCTGTAACCTCTCTATGCAGATGAAATAAATGTGTTCTTGGTAAACTACGTTCAAAGTTTCAGCTTTCTAGGAGTTCACACATAACAGTAATAAACATTTCATAGGAGCAATTTTGAACAAAAAATAAGAAAAACAATTAATTTCTCCAACATTTTTAGGGAGATGCTACGTCTTTTTTCCATAAACTTTTAACTCACCATACGCCTTGAATCATCTTGTATATTGCCCTACATTTTCGCTGAGCTGAATACCCTCAAATTATTTTTTGCTTATTTCAAAATTTCGTAAATAAAGAAATTTATTCCTACAAGCATCTGAGTAGTTAGTAGCAAGCATGAGATACATTCGTAATTTTTTTGAAGTATATTAAGCATGTATTACGCGTAACGTGGGTTGTGGTTCACTAATTTGCCGGTTTTGGTTGAATCAGTCTAATTATCTTAAAATCGTATTGTAAGAACTGCAAAAACTAAAAATGTCACTAGAATTTCCTAATCAACGAAAAACTATGTCGGACTGCAGCTGCGGGACAGTTGATTAAATAATGGGCACGTGGTATAGTTTGTGCGCATGTATCTTATTATGCTTTTCTGCAATTTGTAAAATAGAACTCAATCATAGTGATCAAATCCCTTTTATAGTTACTTTATTAAATAATTGAAATTATAAATGAGAATAAATAAATTGTCAGCACAGGCACTGTTTTACATATAATCTTTTTTCTGCACAATGAAATAAAAAAAAAACAATTTATTATCGTATTTACAAAGTGCAAATATTTCAGTAAAAAAAATAATATAGGTAATAAGTAGATGAAAATAAGTGCGGAAAATAATATAAAATCCGACTTTTAATACTACATTGCAAAATATGCTTCGTGTTAATTTAATTAACTTGTCATTAGAATTATCTATTGCTCAAAGAATCTTTTGCTTGCCTCTCTTCGCCTATAGAGTAGTTTGTTTTTGTAGATTAACCTCCAGTATAAACGATTATCTGTAGCCAACGTATTCAAAAGTCAAGAAAATAGGGATATTTGTAATTACACCCCCGAACAAAAATACAACTTCTGACTTTTGACAACATTTTAGGATGACTTGATTAGTTTAGTTAACTTCAGCGTTATGTATTTAATTTAAATTTTCTGTTTTCTACGGCAAACATTTTAAACAAAATAAGTTCACAGCACTTTTGAATTCGACGGCTACGAGATTTTTTTGGCTTTATATTTTACTTGGATATTTGTAATATTTCTTCTGTACAGTACTTTCTGAATACAAAATCCTAAAGCAAAAACATCTCAAAATTTTTGTATAAAAAAATATATATTTCCAATATAGAGGCGAAAAATAAAACTAACTTGGCCTGTTAATAATATGTTTATATAAAAAAGCACCGAAAATAAATAAAGAACAGCAAACAAGTTGATGCTATCCGTTCTTCTGTCATTCCTCTAACTTCTAATTTTTATTTTTTACCCAATTAGCTACTCGAACTTCATAAGAACAGAGATTTAATGCTTTGGTAGTATTTTAATAATATATTTTTGTGGATAAAAATATTCGATACATGTTATCACTGCCTGTAAAAATCGTTCATAAAAAGTTTTAGAGTTTAAACGCTTCTGCTTCAATAATATTTCAAACCTTAAAACAACTTCCTCTGATATAAGATGACCAATAAATCCCCTTCGCGCGGAGTGCGCTGAAAACTGCCACTGCTGGAGTATGATGATAGTAGTAAAGTAATTTAAAAAATATGGTTAATATATTTTTGTTAGTTTTGACAAGAAGCCTAAAATATGATCACAGGCATGAACTGCAATGACATGTATTAACAAAAGCTGAAAAAATCGATAACATCTTTTGAACGATGATTTTCGTCTGCAATAATCACTGTGAATTTTTGCCACCTTTATCAATAACGTTTTGATATTCGAATATCTACTTATGAACATTAACGGGGCTATAGTGTTTCATACACAATTGCCATCAAGTCTTGAATATTCTGTAATAATCCCAACACTGCCAATTTTTCCTTAAAACTATCTTCCATACGTTATAAGGTTCGACGAACAAATTTTACAACAAAATAAATTAAGTTTTTCTGTTGTTCTTTATTTATTCAAGAGATATTACACCTAAGCGAATTTATATGTCAACCCACGGAACGGAATTTTGCTAACAAAATACAAGCCTTTCACAAAATTCCACCTTTGCGTTAGCGTGGTCAAATGCGGTTACTTTTTAAAATTGTTTTATAAAAATTATGATACAAGAAATTGTCGGTAATAAGTGATATAACTTTTGTTATATCGCATAAAATAGTATTTTTAGAACTTATTTAATTTAAACTGAAAACCTATCGAATAATACAGGGTCATATAGAGCGTTTTCACATAAATAATCTAATTTTTGATATATTTAGTGATTTACAAATGTCATATCACTTTTTACTTTCCTGCTTTAGTTTCTAAAGTTAGTTTCGCTGCAAAGTCTCCTTATTTGATAGATAAACATTAGATGACCTGTGATATTTAGCATGAAAAGAAAAATACCTTACTCTTACCATTTTTTGGATGACCCGGGCAATTTGAAAATTATCTTGAAATGTAACCATAACATTTATACAACAAAACCAAAAATTTAAAAATTCCATTGTATTTTTTTCGCATTATTCCGTGATCGAGTTCGACGTTTGAAAACTTGAAAATTCACAGATATAAAGTATTGAACATTCGAAACAGACGGCTTCCAAAAATTTATATCTGCAAAATTAAAAGAGGTCGTTGAATAAAAATTTAATTGTAAGCTGGCTCATTTTATCCACTACCGATATGTTTTTTGTATACTATACTTTATTATTATGATATTATTATTATTATTATTATTATTATTATTATTATTATTATATATTTACCAGTTTTTCAGTCAATTTGTACAAAAAAGTGCCCATTTTATAAATTAATTTTATACAATGTAGTTTGTGTATCCAAGCTTCCCATTCTTGCGAACTATTCAGTTACCTGCTTGTAGTCCTCTATCATATATCCTTTACTTCTTGGCTTCACGACCTTCTTTTGATGCGATTGGTCGGTTTAACGATTATTAATCATTCATCATTTCAACATGTCAAGATGTCAGTACTATTTTCTCTGACTTCAATGCATGTTTTGCACCGCGTTAATTAATATTTAGTGTATTGCTGTATAACTTTATCCAATTCTAGGTGCTGTTTGTTTTGTACTCCGACAATCATTTGTAATGCTTATACTAGCTGTAAGTCTTATGCTTATCAGTTCCAAATACTTCGCTTACTTTGTATTTATTTTGATAGATGCGTTGTTAACACATAACAAACATCTTGTAAATATCATCCTCATCTTCTGCAAATATTACTTGATTATCTGCAAAATTCAGGTTCAACTTTTATACTCTACAATTGAAGTATACATTGGTTCATTTTTTTTCTCAGAATTCCAGGTTTTGTTACTTTTGGTCCAATATTTTTTAAGCTCCTCTTTCTTGTCTTCTAACATTTACTAACATATTGTGTTCCAAACGGTTCTTATTTTTAAATAGATAACTTGTCTCGCTCTTGATTCAAGAACGACGAGTACGAAAACGACTCTGACATATAGCGTCCTTTCAAGAAACTGCCTCCTGCTATATGCAGATTTTCATTGGGTAGGTAGCTCTTCTCAAGAATAAGTCAAAGCCAGCACAGCATAGCCAGTAGCTGAAGAAAATTGTCTGGACCATATTTAATCAATTCTATACGTACTTCTTTTGATTTTTGCGGCTTACAAGAATGGTAGTTCCTTTCTAACCAAAACCTCATCATCAGGATATACAAGGTCAGTCAAGATTACTCGTTATTTTATAGGTACTTCTTTTGATTTTTGCGACTTACAAGAATCGTAGTTCTTTTTTAACCAAAACCTCATCATCAGGATATGCAAGGTCAGTCAAGATTACTCGTTATTTTATTGTTTATATCGTAAATTAAATGGGGATAATTAAAAAAAAAAAATTTAAAACCAAAACAAAAATTGAGTACGGATATAATTCACAATTCTTCTAAAATCGCAGGAAAAAAATTGCAAAATCTTAGTTGTTTTCTAGTCACTTCGCAGAGTGTAAGCAAACCAAATTTAACTAATAGGATTAAAATAAATAGGTCCCACTAATTGGTGAGGTTTATCGTCAAAAAAGTTAAAATTAGTGGAAGTTTTTTAAAACAAATTTGCATCTGAAAAACTGGTAAAGATATCAAAATTCGCTTCGATTTTTAAAGCATATCCTTTATAAATTTGCAAAAACTGCACCAACCTATGTAATAAAAATTACAGAATATAGAAAACTTTTTCAAAAACATAATGATCGCTGATAAAATGAGCTTTTAGGTACTTATATCGATGTACTCTTCGAATTTCAGATATTTTTTTAAATGTTGCACAAATGTTGATTACTAGTTTCAAATGTGTGGCAGTTTAGCCATTGGAATAAAATATTTTTCAAACGTCGAACTTAAACTTTGCCTCCTGATACAGCAAAGGAATCATTCCAGTGCCCAAACAAATCGTAAACAAGGGATTAATAGTCCGAGTTGGACGAGAAAATTCCGTTTCGAAACACACGGTACGCACGAAAACAACTACCGAAGACAACGACGACAAAACTACAACGACGAAGATAACAATCGACCTAACTCCGTCGCCTCAGAACCAAGTTCCTGCCGCTTTTACCTATGCCAAATATCGAAGATCTCAAAACGATAGCTTCAAGTCAACGCCTTTAGTTCTTAGTACGTTGAAATACCAAAAGGAAGTCAACGACGAAATCGCTCAACAATTCAAGTCAAACGTTATTAAAGTTAACGGTAGATCAGATGAAGTTCCTTTCCGTTTAAACTCTTCGAACAGAGTTCCGGAACAATTAGAGGCTCTTAAAAAACTCTATGAAGATATTCCGAGCGATAGCGATGCCGACAAAGAAGTTCAGCGGCTCATGAGTAGGATCGAGGAGAGGGAAGTGTCAAAGATGGAAGAAAACGGTTGCAAAAGCGTGGTATCGGGAAGCTGGAGCAAGATGAGAACTCGCAGAGAGTGTTCCGACGATAAAAGTGTTAATCGGGAAATTAAGTCTACAGTCGGTCTAGAGAAATCTAGCACTAGAAAAGGTATTAACGACTAGTCAGTTAGAAAGTACAACTTCAAACCACGACGGTTCTCTTAAGAATTACATATTTTCTGGTTTTTGGTCTAACCGGCAAGGGATCGGTATACAGGGTATTCATTAAGCGCTTGTACAAGTCTTGATATACAAATGTTACCTTAATTTTTTGTGTAAAAAAGTGTTTCCTGTTTTCTTCAATTTGACTCAAATTGTTTTTTGTTGCACCAAGTTTTGTTAATACTTATCCAAATTGTACAATGTACAGGAACAGGTACAATGTACAAAAAAAATGCACGTATTCAGCCGGCCTGTGAAAAGAAAATATTTAAGATATAGGTGTGATCGAGGGTTTCAATATAAACACTGCTTCAGCTTCTTCAAATTGTTAGCTTTCTTAAGTCAAACAAATTATAAAGGATCTGATTTTGAAACATTATTTTAGGTTTTGCAATTGCCAATGTCTTAGTTCTTAATTTATACACAATATATAAATTAGAAAATAGTGAATATCTCAAAGCAATTTAGATATAGTTTTATACAAGAATTATGTATAGAATTTTTACTTCTTTACTCATGGTCTCCTCTGAACACATCGTCAAGAGTTTGTTCATTATACTTTTTAGATTACACTTTTTTTTTAACTGTTGGTAATTTGTACAAGTACTTAATAAACATCCTGCAATATAAACTTTGCCTAAACGAACTTTACGAAAAATATAAAATTTGACTACTACAAATAAAAGTTTTACAATAAAAAAATTGTTAGAGAATCTAAAACAATTAACATTGAGTAATTATATCTGGAATTACTTTTAGTCACAATTGCTGTAATTTTAAGTACCCCGTATATTTTTTCGTTCATTCGATTTTAGTATATTTTAATAAATATAGTATTTAGTTCTATTTTGCAAGTTGCATCAACTTAATAGATACTCGACGGAAATGGACGCTGAAGATTGCGATTTTCTAATGGTCCATCCACTTAAATAATAAAAAACATTTTTCAAGCCATCAAAAAAATGTGATCTTTAATCAACACCAAAACCGATTTTACTTTTGCTAAAATATCCTTATTATTTTTTAGTGAACAGATTACAATCCCAATCTCCTCATTCGCGAAGAACCGAATTTAGCAATTTGCTCTCCAACAAGCGCAGTCCTTCGCCTAGAAGGCGAGTGTATTCACCAATAACAGCGAGAAAACCAGCACTTACCTCCGTCTCATTCCTAAAACCCTCGTGCACGGTAGATCACCTGTCTAGTTCATCTTTAGTTGGCCGAAGCGTGACTAGCAAACACGAAAATTCAACGAACAAAACATCGGGACGACGATCTCCAACGAAAGACTTTAAAAACGCAGACAATAAACTAGAAAGGATACACACTAACGAAAACATAGTTTTAAGGCAACCTAAACAATCTGAAATGACTTATTTCGGGGTCAAAGTGAATACGAAGTCTTCGAACGAGGCTTCGACCTCCAGCAAAAGTAAAGTTCTCGAGAAACCTGACCTAATTCGGCACTACAATAAATCTCCACCGGCTCTTCCGGCCAGAATCAGAAGAGTAAATCAGAAACCCGGTTCACCAATCTACGAAAATTTAAGAACGAATCCGAAGAAAGCGAAAGGCAAATACTCAGCCTCCAGAGAATTCGACAGCAGCATCTTAGACGAGCTGACAAAAGCTGCGGACCAAATCTTACAAGTTGTCAACGGGTACACCAACGAAGACGGTCCAAATAGGTTAAGCTCGGACGAGGAAGTCAAGCCCCCTCTAGACACCATATCTGAAACAAAGTCGTGGAGAAGCAACCCTCAACCGTTGCAATCCAGGGCAACGAAACCGACTCTGGCAAGTGCCGCGAAAGTTCGCGTCCGAAGAACGTCTTCTACGTCGTCCGTGGAGAGTTTAAGCAAAGAGAGGTCAAAGCAAACCAGAGAGAATCAAGTTAAAGTTGCGCAAGATCCATCCGTTAAGAAAAAAGCATCCAGCGATTCGAGTTCCGTAAAAGCCTCTACGAAAGCAAGGAGACTGCAACGGGCGTGCAGCAGAGAAGCCCTCTTGCAAAGCCACGGAAGCTCGTCGGAGGATTTGCCTGCCAAATCGGAAGCGCCGGTCAGGAAACCGAGGTTAATTAAGAAAACTAAAGCTTCTCAGTTCACTATAAGCAATGGTTTGGAATTGAAAAAACCTATTAGGAAGAAGGACGCTATCGGTGGTATAGATGAAAGGTAAGCGACAAGATAAACTGAAGAATTCTGCTGCCGATATTAATTTTAGTGTCATGCGCTGCTTCACATTACTTAACATTTTGTAGAGTAATTGGCGTTCTGCCCGAAATTAAACGCAAGACTGGAATGTCATCTATAAGAAGCACTTCGGAGAGCGGTTCAAGGGATAGGTTGAGGCATAAAGTCGAAGATTCGAAGCTTAGAAATCATCCACGAGATGATGCTAACAGAGGTAGGTATGATAAGTTTGCTTGCTCTCCCAATTATCGCGAACTGTGATGCTCCGTTGTATTTATTAACAAACCTACTAACAATTTCGTTTTTGCAAAATATATAGGACATTTCAAACTACTTACTAGCGGTAGGTTTGGACTAGACAAATGGCGGTAGAATTACTGCACTTCAGGCGGATATTTTCTTACTCATTTTTTTACTCATTTGAGAAAATACTGCGGGAATAATGTCACCGACAAAAGCAAAACTGCCAAATTATAAACGGCGGGCATGTCATGAATATTCAACATGTGCGCATTTTTTAAAATATTCTGTCTCGTAAGAGCATAGAAAAAAAATTGATCCTGGAAATTTTTTTACATTGGTTACCAAAATATGTGTGTTTTCAGTATAAGTAAGGGCCCTCATATTCAATTTATTTACTAGCTAAATGGAATGTACCAATGAAAAATTGTGAATATAAAGGCTAGCTTACAATGCAAAAGTTGATTACTTTTTTTCCCACTCATTCCGAAACGAGTATAGCCGATGCCACTTCAAGCATTGGAAAATTAGTATTAGGGTTCGTCAACTTCGAAATTAAACTCCGAGTAGAACTTAACTACACACACTACTCACTTACATAATGTCTTTTTACATTTCCGCGTTCTTCGGTTTAGTTGTCCGACTAGCTGCTTAGGGAGCGGCGTTTCGCGTAATTCCCGAGTTCGCTCGCTAGTCGATATATTTTACTAATCTGCCACTACTAGGTCAAATATTTTAGCCCGTCTAAAATATTTACGTCTGACCCAAATTTTATTGAATCAAATATCTACATTGTAAAAATGACCCGCTAATGTAGTATTCTCTACTTCGTTTTTTCTTTGGAAGGTAGAAGACCTGCAACAGGATGTCTATTGCCTGGATACTTAAACCGATATTAATAACTCAACTGGTATACAAATTTTTTATAACGTAACTGGTATTACGGGGTCGTTGGTGACCCCAATTTAAAATTGATGTACGAGGAAATGAAAAGTCGAAATATGTTTTTTTTACGAAATAAGGTAACATAATATTGAAAAAACTGTTATAATACCGTACAAAATTATAAAGTACTTATTTAGTAAAAAAATAAAAGACATTATTACAATACAAGAAAATAAACAAAATATTTACAGGCTTCCGCAAAATTGGCACTAACTAACATTTTCCCTCTTCCAAATCCACGTAATAATGGTTCTTTAGTCCTCATCGGAGCAGCTGTAATAAAGAAAAACGTGATAAATGGCAGTGACGTTCTCTCTTACATTTCCGATGATGTAGTGCAGACGTTATAGACAAATCTCTGTTCAGACTGTTGCTTGCAAAGGGGTTTTCCACATTTCGAACACGTCATTGGAGACTTTCTATCTTTTGATCATATGTTTTGATCATGGATATAGAGAGCATCTTAATCTTTTTTGAGGAGGAGGTTGCAAATCAGTGGCGTCGGGTCGACTTTGTTCTGCTATTTCTTAGTATGTTTTTTATTTCCCTAGGGATATTCAGTGAGATCTGTTCTGGTAAATGTTCTTGTATCAGGGCTTTTCCAAGTAATACATTAAAATTTTTTCTGCTAATCTTATTTTCTAATTTCGCAGTTATATATCGTGTACAGGAGTTTACTATCCAGATATTTAGCATAGCAAAAAGAACTTTTAGAGGCCATCTTCGACTCCTTCTGCTACAAGAATAACTTGCACATTTTTGATCCAAACTGTCCTCACCTGATTTTGTAGAGTTATAAAATTCATTTGTTTCTGGTCAATTTGATCCTCTATTGACGTCATCACTATTGCATGCACATTGCACTGTTTGGTTTTGGAACACCGGAAACTAGTGCTCTGTCCCCAGTAAAACCAAATATTGATTGTGTAGAGCGATTTTTGTTGGGCAGGAAATGTGCCGGAATGTCTCTTTTTTTTTTCATAGTACCGACGTACATTAGACCTCTCAACTTAAGTTCAAACACTAATTAATATTTAATTAATGATTAATTAATATTTCTATTTGTATTTTCAATCGATGAAACAAGATCTAACACGTTTAAAGTGGGAAGTGATAATTTCTTTGGGTTTCTTCTTAGAACATTATTGCCACTATAAATGAACGCATTGATAAGATAATGAGTTTTAGCATCACATAGGCACATTAACCCATATTTTGCAGGTTTACTCTTTATATACATCCTAAATTTGCATTTTCCGCTGAACAGCACCAGCATTTCATCAACAATTGAAAATTCTGAACATTCTGGGCAATTTTTAAAAAAACTTGTAAACACTTCAGAAATTGCAGCTGTGTCGCCAGATGTAGTAATTAAGTCTGCTCCAGTATCAGCATGGTCAAATCGTATTGAGGATAATATAAATAAAAAACGCTTTAGAGTCATGGTAGCTTGGAAGATGTCTGTACTCGTTCCGCCCGCAACACGAGAGACTCTGCGTCTTCTCTCCCAGATTTAAAAACCCAAAAATGCCTTGAGTTCAGGCATACTTAGATCAATAACGTACGTAACATTTTTACTGTGATATTTGGCACTCAATTCTGCAATATTTACTTTAGTATGCTCCAAAATGGCTTCTAGAATATCATCTGTGAATAAGAGTTGCCAAGCCTCAAGGGAACTGGTTGTGTTAGTTAGTCTTGCTGGCCATCTCACACCCTGAAGGTGATTATATTATGTGCGGGAGTTCGACGACCATGCTTTGGCGGATTACTAGACCATTTATATCTATAGAAATAATCAGATGAGGAGATTTATTCATTGGATTCGTCGCCAGATAGGGACATCTGACAATTCTTGTTCGGATTCAGTGTCGTGGTTTGTGTGTTCGCTTTCAGCATCAGACAGATCGCTATCTGAGTCTTCGAAATCTCCAGATACTCTTCAAGCTCTTAATCAGTTAAAAATTTGCACGCCATGTTTGATGAGAAATACTAACGTAAATGGTATATTGGGGTCAGTGTTGACCCCAACGCTACGCATTACCACAACTGTGCACGCTATAGACTTGCCCGCCAGGCACCGACTAAGCGACGTCGATTGATGCGGCTATTGACTGGCATGACACCGTGTTGATTTTACCAGTTAAGGGATATTAACTTACAATTTAGTACGATAATTAAAGAACCTCGACAAGGCATAAATATTTTTCTAATTTCCTATATACTTACCAGAATATTTTGGAATGTGCTCTAGGTGCAGTAAGTTCCTCTCGCTCCATCAGCAGCAGAAGCTACCAACCTTCTCAGCGACTCGACCCTACTAAAGATTCTGGGGTAACACAGCACCGCGTCTCTACTGCGTACGTACCAGCTTGTAACACTAGATGGCGCGGTGCGCATGCGTCGGTGCGCGAGGAAGAATGCCCGTGTTTGTGCTCGTGATGTGATTACACGTTAGGTAGAGATTGACGATCAGTATCTGTTGTAGAATTTGGGCGCATATATTTTAAATTACTGATGTAGTTATAATGCGTTTGGTTAAAGCTGTTGGTATGAAGCTTTTGGATATAAAATAATGGTACTAACTGATTAGATAGACTTTTGATAGAAATTGTTAAAAAATAATGAATCGAGGCGTATCCACACAGGTTCAGGTTAAAAAAAATGGTCAAGTATAATTTCCGTAGACTGGATTTTAGTTAACACATACATAGCATGAATCCGTAGATACTGATGTCAATCTTTACGGTAAATGAATATTAACAAAAAATCATATCGTACTGTTTTGGCGTTACAAAAATTGCTTCACTAACACAAGAATGCTATGGGTACCATTTTCAAACTATATAATGCACGCAAATTTGACTTGCCTTTTTCGTTCCAGAAACATCAAGAGATGTCATCGAGCAGAGGTACTGAAAAGACATTAGAAAAATATCGATTCTTCACTAGTTACGCCAGCACAATAACGTTGTTTAATAATTATAAGTATGTAACGGATAATGTCAACATGTAATTGTATGTTCTTCGTACTAGTTAAGTAAGTTCCTAAATGATTAATTGGTCATTAATCAGTAATCTTGTTTTTTTTATTATACGGTTGTGTAAAAATTCCATTTATTTCCTCTACCAACCTATTTAATGTGCTTTTTTAATGCTTTAAAGAGTTTTTTTCTTTTTTACAATAATTTATATATTTTGTAACAATAATCTGCCAAATGTGATTGTACGTTGCTTTACTGGTCATGTGATGTTCATTTTAAAAATAAATAAATAATCCCTCTGATTTTACTTTCTTTTATTTTCCGAGCCAACTAACGTACCTAAGGGAGGCAAGGTTTGACCTTAAATAAAAGAAGATTTGAACTTTACTTTTGTTAATAATTCCTTTGAGAAAAAAAATAGAGTTAGTAAGCAAAAATAGTAATGTTCCATATTTACCAATCTCTACATGGCATATGCTATTGCATTGAAACATAATTAAGATGTTGTGATGATGTTCCTTCATTATTTCCTAAAGTTCTTTATTTTCTGCTATAGAATCAAAAAGCGTACTCTTGGTTAATATAAAACTACAGCTAATATCGATTTCGAATATTTCACAATAATTTTGAATTTAATGCCTTCACCCGTCTCGAAATTATAGTATAAGGGGCATGCACTTGCTGGCATCGTTTTGCCCTGAACATTTTCAGAAAGTACTCCTCTAGACAATTTGACATTTGACATGACTTGTTGAACTTGTTAAAAGTCATGGTTGGCGATTTTGCAAAAAGTCGCGCATGCGCATATTGAATATCCATGAATATTGGATTGAATATTGAATATTGAACATTCACCACACTTTCAATGTTATATTTTGTGAAACATATAGAGCTCTCAAGTATTTGAATTTAATATTTATTATCATAAGAAAGTGTTACTTAGTTACAACTCAGAACACGGCGCCGATAGTGGAAATTTTAAAAAGCTCAATTATAAGGCGAATTTCTCGCCTACCTACTGGTAAATATGAAAAGTGCTGATTTAGGTTCCCCAGCGTTATTATCTTTAATTGTACTGATACTGGTATAATTAAATATTATTTCCTTGACTTTACTCACCATTCTACCAATACTTTTGAGTTCTTTATTTGTGTGATTTCGGGTATGGATTTTTAAATCCACAAACGTATAAAATTCAGTTTGGCTTTCCATTATCTCAAGTATCAATAATATATAGTTCTTATCAAATTTATGTCAAACATATTATGTAATAAAAACCGTTCTATTTACTTAAATTGTATTATTCTGGTTTTTGCTTTTAGTTTCAACTAATATCTTATTACACAATTGCATAACGTGCAAAAATTTTAAACACCCTGTATACGATTACTTCAATCTCGTTATAACACCGCAACCTATTCAGAAGTTGTATCCAAAATTTCAGATTTTTGACTAAAATAGTTGAGAGAAATTTAATTATTTTCATGATTCAGCACTTTCCATAGCATCTGGAAATAGAAAATATTCATGGTGTTTCAAAAAACGCTCTGCTGCAGATTCGTCATCCAAAAAAAGTTCATATAAACGTAAGTCCGGACAGACACGTGGTGTCCAATAGTTAAAAAAAGTGACTTATTCAAAATAAGTACACCTTTTCGACAATGCTATTCGATTTTGGAGAACGCCCTCTATACCTATGTATACCGGATGTATCAAATTCAACTATCGGAACCGGTATTCTGTTCAAAAATTGAAATTATTCTTATTATTTTCGCAAATTAGACATAAAATCGGAAATTTCCAGTTTTTGATTTAATCTTCGTACCATCATTGTTTTAATTTTTCTTACACCATACTGGATTTTTGCAGTTTTGAATAACTTCTTCATTAATCACTGCTATATTCCGGGTTATTGGGACGTGGTCTATTGGTATTCATACCAAAGTTTTCAGCTACTAGTGCAGCAGCCATTTTTTATTAGCATTTTAAGAGTGTACTACAAGTACATTTGAAGTTGCAAAATCTGCATCTATGCATCTATATCATATAGGCATTTTGATAGCATGTGATTTACAGTTTATAAAAAGACAACGTCATCGAATTTAAAAGTATTTAGACTCGTTACCGCCATCTAAGTATCTTCGGTATTATCAAAACGAACGAGTACGTAGCATCTATAGACGTACAGTGAAAGTGAAATAGTAAAAGGCAATGTTTGATTGTTTTTCTCTCAACAACTACGTTAATCGGCTAATAGTAACTTCAATAATAACGAAGTTAGCAAAAGGACCGACATGAATTCAAGCTATATAATGTATATCATTAGGCATTTTTTTGAAAATACAATAAAATATACAAAAGGTAAGAAATTAAAAAGTGAGAGTTCCCGTTTTATTGCCATTGTGTTAATGGAGTCTAAGATATTACGTTTGACTAATTTAATATTAATGGATATCATAACCGAAAAATGAAAGTTACTAGCAACCTTAATTTTAATGGCAATCAGTGGCAGTCTTTCAGTGTATTAATATCTACTTTTTAATGTTATCTATTTAACCTCTGCGATAAGTCTGACGCAGTGTTTCATGATAATGCCGATTTAATATCTCAACATTGTATTAATTTGTTCCAGACTCACTTGGCTGGTTTATACTTTTTTTTTGAGAGAAGTAACTATGAAAAGTGATAAGGATGCCGCTACAGTAAGTAACTCCATTTAGTTTAATTTTTGTAGTAGATGCAGTAAGTAGCATGGTCTAATTTTTCAAAGAAGAAGCTAACAGGATGATTGGCGAAACGTCAGCAAGTTCAACTTATCAAAAACCGACACAGGAGGAATCCAGAAGTTTTGTAAAAAGTAGCATGGTCTAGTTATCACGCATCAACAAAAAATAATTTCAAACGCCAAAAATTGGAATTCAAACATTATATTGAACTTTTAACGGGAAATTTACAAGAAAGTGATCTAGTTACTGCAGTAATTCTTGAAAGATTTTCACCCATAGTTAAATAATATTGATTTTTATTTTTAACGACGATATTAAACGTGACTTATAACACCGGTGTAATTGTTACGAACGAAATATTCGAAAATGTTTATCTTTAAGTTGTTATCGCCTATTTTAACCGGTTTTTATTGTGATTTTTTATTATGATTGATTTATATTTATTAAACATTTTTAAAAACTATTTTGCTTTGTGGCAAAGTAAATTAATATAGATTTTGAATATTAGTTAAGATAAGTACAGACGGGAGTAGAAAAGGTAGAGTATGCAACACGTTCGGTAAACTTTTAAGTCGTCGTTTATTAAACACTCGCTGCGCTGCTCGTTGCATAAATTTTTTAATGATCAATTGTACAAATTAAATAAACAATATAACAATTTAAACTTGTGTTTGTTCCGTTGTTTATATAAAATAATACATATCTCTCTGTCTAACGTACACAGTTAAAATGAGACAACAATAGCAGAACCGCTCGGAACCGTATACGAATAGGTTGAATGGCAACTAGTAAATTTTTTTTTTTGAATGGTACGAAATTAAGTAATCCGATAATCTGTTATTATTCTATCAATCGTTTATTAAATTTATTAAACATATTTTATTTAAGTAGAGAATTTGTGCAATAATAATAAATAAAAATTAATTAGGTATAATATATACACTTAAAATTTTGAGTAAATAATATTCGAATTCTGTAATCATGTAGATCTGATAAAGTGGAATTTAAACTTTTAAGATTCCAAACGTCAATCACAGTGTAATACAAAAAACGGCTTGTAAATATAAATTATAGTACTTATTATTAAAATTACTACTTATAACATTTTCGCATCTAGGAGAATAGCAAACTATGGGGAGGTAGATTCGCCGGAAAAACAGATCCCAATCTAGAAAAACTTAATTGTTCCATAAGCACCGACAAAAGGATGTACCGTGAAGACGTGGAGGGAAGTAAAGCGTATGCCAAGGCCCTCGAAAAGGTCAATCTGTTAACAAAGACTGAAAGTGAAGCAATTTGTAAAGGTTTGGAAGAAATAAATTTAGAATGGTTCAAAAACGAGTTTATTATCGAAAACGATGAGGACATACACTCCGCCAATGAAAGACGACTCAAAGTATACCGTCATGATTACTTTAATATATATAAGTCGTCAAATTTTTAATTTAGGAACTTATTGGAGAATCTGCTACAAAATTACACGTCGGTAGAAGCAGAAACGATCAAGTCGTCACCGACATGAAACTATGGTTGAGAACCAACTTACAAATACTGGGCAAAAAAATCACTAAACTTATTAAAGTGATTGCGATGAAGTCCGTTCAAGAAATCGATATCATTATGCCTGGCTATACTCACCTCCAGAGGGCTCAGCCCGTAAGATGGAGTCACTATCTGTTAAGGTACAATACCAACGTTTTCTTCAACATTAAAATTTGTTTGAGTCAAAAAACAAAATAATAGAAAGCTACCCGCAATTAAGTTATTTTTAGTTTAGTTTAGTTTTAAAGTTTGTGAAAGAACCGATTTTAACAAATTTAAGACACCGCCACTGGGATTAAAAATGATTATGTCAAGACAGTTTTTTATGTTGGACATTGAGAATTGAATTCCATACCGATATACAGAATTTCCAGTTTTTCGCAAAACCTTTAAACACTTACATAAATTCAATAAACCGCTTTCTAGAGTCTTACAATTTATAAAGTTCGATAACATCATTTTGTTCATCAAATGATTTTTTTCGTCACTAAAATTGTCCCCAGTTGAATTAAGAGAATTTTAACAGCCTGATTTGCAATAACGGCATTTAAACCCAGTGGTTTCCAGCATACACTCCCCATATAATAAACATTTGAAGTCAGTTGAAAATAGCGAGACAAGACAAGAAACGTTTTTTATGTAATAGAAGCTTTTTCTTATTTATATTGATCTATAATTCATTACATAGCAACAAAAATACATTGAAAATAAGTATCTAAATCTTAATCTAAAACACTAAGAAAATACTTTTGTTAATTGGATTTTTTTGCATTTAAACCCTTTTATTCAAATTCAAGCATACATACAAAACAACTTCTTGATCATTCAGGATATCACCAAATTGTTGATATGCTATTAAACACAAATTTAAAATTTAGAAAAATTAAAGTGAAGTAACAGTAATAATAATAACCTGTATACGTCCTTAGACATTGAATCACTATACGAGAAATGCACCTAAATGGTTATCGAACAAGCACCAAATTTACAGAGTAACACAGTATTTTTAGTTTGTTTGCAATTAGTAAAGAAATTCTATTAAGTGACCACACTGTATATGCTGTATTTGCTATTCAAATATTCAATTTCTGTTAATATATAGTTTGAAAATTTCATCCTATTGCCACCTCCATAATTAATAGTTTTGATTGGCTTCTTTCTATTGTTACCTCCATAATTAATAGTTAAAAAACAAATTATCCGTTTTTACATTTTTGGCTTGCTTTATCTAATTTTAGTAAAATGTTGTACTTATATTATATTAATACGACTTTATATGGGCACATTGTAGTCACGCGTGGAGTTTAAAATCAGACTTCGACAGGTTGGAAAATAACATAAAATTGTTAAATGTCATGCCATTGGGCAGCGGGGCGTTGGCTGGGAATCCTTTCGACATCGACAGGATCGCACTCGCAAAATCCTTAAAGTTCGATGGAATAACAGAAAACAGTATGCAAGCCGTTAGTGATAGAGATTTTATAGGTATGAATTTTTAAAAAATATTTAAATAAGGTTCATATTGCTAGTTAATCAATCTTTCAGCCGAATTTTTGTTTTGGGCTTCAATGCTTGGCATCCATTTGAGTCGGCTAGCAGAAGATTTAATCATATTCAGCTCCAGAGAATTTGAATTTGTAACGATCGCAGAGTCATTTTCTACAGGAAGCAGTTTGATGCCCCAAAAAAGAAACCCAGATAGCTTGGAGCTCATAAGAGGTATAGGAGGCAGCCTGTTTGGTCAGGTAAGCCACTTAATATAATAATGTCACTAACAACAAGACCCACAAAAAGAGATAAAATAAAGTCATAATAGATTTTCGGTATTTTCGTACCGTAAGACTAAAGAAGGCCGTTAAAGCAAATTCATCAATTTAGGCATTTTGAATTCGCTACAAAAACACTGAGGGCTGCTCTGTGGACTAGTGACTCACTTCTACGGTGGAAGAGTTGCCAGTGGAGTTTCAGCAGACGATTAGCTCTTAGGTTCTAGACCAGCGGTCGCCAACCTGCCGATCGCGAGCTACCGGTAGCTCGGGGAGGCAATTCTGATAGCTCTCACAACGATCTTAATTTTAAAAATAAAAACTGCAAAAATCAGAGAAAATTCCACAAAAAAATCTAATTGTCATAATATTACATATAAGCAATTCCACAAAAAATCCAAAATTAACAAAGTAGCTCATATGCAAAAAAGTATTTTCAATGATGATCTGAGGCTATTCAATGCGCTGTCTTCCGATATTAAGAACTCACCCAATGTGCAGATTTTTCTAAAAAAATTGAAAAACATGTATCTGAACTTGAGCTAGATATATACTACAAATTTTGCATTCTTTGTCGTTCTGTGAATCTATAATTAAGTAGTTAAGTATTATTATTATTATTGTTATCATTATTATTATTATTATTATTATTATTATTATTTGCTAAATTTACTATTAATACTTATATTTTTATTTACATTTTTTTAAAATTTGTTGATGTTTAGTAGCATATTCTGCTAATAATAAAGTACTACTTTCTTTCTTTCTTTCTTTAACACATTGAAGAGGTTGGCGACCACTGTTCTTGACCAATTAACATTATGTAATAGCTTTCTTAAAATTGCTAATAAACTTCGTATCGGGTGTAGATGAATATGAAAATCTAAGCGTGCCTGCTAAACTGTATTATTCAACCATTATTCAACCGTTATGACACTCTGTTAATCAATTAAGCAATAATTGTGGACTGTTTGCCTAAGTAGATAAATAATATATCCATTATTGTAAAAAATATGGGGAGATGTTTTTCAGTCGTCAATCTGACTTTTAGATTGATATGTCAATAACAAATTAACAAAAAATAATAATAATTATTGGTTAGTTTTGACTAGTATTCCTCTTCATTCTATAAAAGTGAACAATGTAAACAAAATTGTTGCTTCGAACTTTAAAATAACTCCTCCCCTTTCCCCGTCCCAAAAAAGCAAAACCAATTTTGAACTTTTCACATAAAAACAACCAAAAGTGAAGGATTCTGACTGAATAAGTGAAGCCGTGGTATTTATCAAATTGCTTAGTTCGTCATCCTAAATAAGAGTACCGTACCTAATTTGCACATCAATAGACAGATAAAAATTAGGACAATGAACATCCACATGTGCATTTGAACCTGTACTTAAACAAGTTGTGTGCGTTTAGTGTTGTAGTTTTATGATGGTACTCAAAAGTCTTCCTTCGACGTATAATAAAGACTTACAATGTGACAAGGAAGCCATGTTCGCTACATTTGATAAACTTCAGTCCATTTTGGAGGTACATGGTTTAACAATACATTTAATTGCATTTAATACATCTTATTAATAAATTATGTTTAAGGTAACCACTGGAACGCTCGAGACATTAAAAATCAATCAGGAAAAGTGTAGATCTACGCTAAGCTACGAGATGCTAGCTACTGATGTTGCCTATTATTTGGTCAGAAAGGGCGTGCCATTTAGAAAAGCGCATCATATCGCCGGACAGGTCGTGTCCGCAGCCGAAAAAAAGGACGTCAGTATTTGCGATTTAACTTTAGAAGAGCTTAAAAACATAAGGTAGGTGGTACATATGCATTTTCTTACGACCAAATCAATTTCTGTCGACTTTCTCACCAGGATTTTTTTTTAAACTGCTCTGACTGTTCGTTTCCTAGACTTTGCCATTACAAATGAATCACCCAATAGTACAATTGTTAACTTTTTGTGGACACGTTTCACTTAATGATTTTCATTGGGTGCTTGTCAATTTTCTAAGAGACGGACGTTTTCATTAAAATTCCTATTTGTTTTGTTCCAGTATCCACTTTGATGTAGACATTGGTAAGGTTTGGAATTACGAAAATAGTGTAGAGCAGTATCAAACGATTGGAGGCACTTCAAAAAGCAGCGTCCTACGACAAATAGCTTCTTTGAAACAGTGGCTAGAAAAAGGGGATGATAAATCAGTTTAATAAACTAAATATCACTCGGCAATGTCTACTACTAACATCTCATCAGCACATATCTACACACCAGACTACAGCCTTTAGATCAACTTTCACAATGTTTCATTTAATTTTTAAAATTTTAAATTAGGAATTAACACAACATAAACATAATAAAATTGTTTTAAAATTTAATTTGGCCAAATTTTAATCTACCTAATAGGCTTCTTCCCTGACTGTACTGTAAAGTAGTTTCACTCAACATTGTCGCTTGCAATCAATTTCTTCGTAACTCAAGCGTTGTCTAGATTAAATTTTGCGCATTGTTGCGCTTTTTTAATTTGATAATTTTTTTAAGCATTAAACAAAAATAGAGTTTCATATAAATTCGCTGAAGGTGAATGATTATGGACTAATTTTAGCAAGTTAGTATATTGCGACAACCCTAAAAAGTTAGCTTAAGAACATTCTAAAAATATCCATTCCCTGGTAAGCTAAAAAATATAGAGCCCCATTTAAATTAGTCGATATAAACACTTCCTGCTATATTAGAATACGTTTTTGATCTTACAGTCACACGTTACTGCACTGTAAATTTCGCTGACGCAAGTTGACTACTTTTTAGTATTGAAGAATTTAAAGCTAGATTACATTTTATAAGATTTAAATTGTTTGATTCCACAAACCTAATTTTAACCCATACGTGTTACAATATATAGGGAATTCATTTTTTTTAAGAGAATGAATTTATCTAAAACGTTTAAAACAAACACTGAAGCAAATTAAGGTTATAGATTATTTTATAGATCAGGTGTATATTCTTTAAACTGGGAGGTATCTTCATCAGGTTTCACGAACATCTTAGTTTGGTAAAAAAGTAAAACTAATGTACTTTCAGTGCTCATCTTTTGTCCACGGACCATAACAAATGTCAATAACATTAATTTTTAATAATATAAACTGCAGGTCCCCGATGAAACTGTTTTACTTGATAACGGCTAGGTGATACTTTTTAGTCGAAACGTCGTGTTACACACGTTTTCAGACAGTTCGAAACACCAGTATTGACCGCAGTTTCTATTGTATATAAAGTATGATACTTAATAATGACTATAATGAGCAAATAGGCCTTTCGATGGTATTATTTCAGCTTTTAACGCAATAAGTTGCACTGTAACGGTAAATTCGTACAGATCAATACCTAATACAAAATATTGAAACAGAAATCTGTGGTCATTTCCTCATTGCCACTAAATCAACTCTTATGGAAAGGAACCATATAGCTATTAGAAAATATAGTGGTCCTACCAGGGAAAAAATGATGTGCTGCAAAGGGCGTCGATATTTTCGTAGAGAAGATAATGATTTTTAATGCAAGCCTCTACATTTCATCCACTAATCTACACTTAGCACAATTTTCGTTCTAAACAACGATATCCACACACTTAACTCACAACATATTTTAAGAAAATACTGCCTTAAAAATGTCGCATCCAAACTTATGGGAGATCTGTCAGCGGCCATGTTGGTTTTTGAATGCCGCATACTATGTACAAATTTTCTAGATTCCTCCTGCGTCGATTGTTTATAAATCGAACTGGCTGACGTTTCGCCAACCAACCTGTTGAGTTCTTTAGAGCTAAACTGAAACTGACTCGCATTCTACTCTGTACCTGCTTATATATCTTTTGGTTGCTTATAGATTTCTGTAGATTCTCGGATTTTTCTTTGGCAGAAGACCAGATTTCATGCAATCATGCAGGCCGTTTCAGTTAAACTCTGAAGAAGCCAACTGGATCATTGCCGAAACGTCAGCAAATTTAATTTATAAACAACCGATAACCGACGCAGAAGGAATTGCCTGTGAAAGTTTCTTTGAATAATTATCTATTAACTATTTCGTTAATTGGTGACACCTGTGGTTGAACCAAACATCACTTTGGTCATAGAGTTACTACACCATGATCTATGATTTTGTTGATTTAATGTTTTCCATTTCCTTTTTCTATGGCCCCTGAATAAAGAAGATGCTATTCATTATCTATGACTTATTTGTGTACATGTCATAAATAAAAAATAACCAAAATTTTGGAAATGGATGAATCAAAGGGGCCGATCTTGTACGTCTTAGTAATAGGATTTCATCACAAGAAGGGCTGTCAAGTAAATTATCATTATGTATTTTATTAATTTTGTATGCAAGCAGCTTGTTCTAGGTGGAATATTCTTTTCCCCCTCTTGTCCCTGGAGCACCAAATGAGTGCCCGTCCGGTTGGAAATACTTGCCTACGTTAGCCTTGCCCGATGGATCTCATAATTATCAAGAAGATACAGTATTTTTTCATTTGCCTAGCTTAACAAATCCTAAACAAACAGTTTATGGAATTTCATGTTTTCGTCAAATACCCAGTGAGGTACATTTGTAAAAGCACAAGTTTATTTCTAGACTAGATTAGTGAAATTTTTAATGTTTTAGAAAATTAAAAATCGTACCTCGGATATAACTAGAGGTACTGTACAAAAGTCAGTTTGTGTCCTCAGCAAAATACCTCTATATGGACAAATTCAAGTAAAAATGTCTCTGATTACCCATGCTTATTTTGATGAAGGAGATTTTAGTAAAGTCTCAATTTTGGAGGATACATACCAACACTTGAATGCTGTACTAACGCAAAATGATACTGGTCAACAACTATTTGTAGGTAAGTTCTTATAAAGCACTTTGGTAAAAGTTGGATTTCTATTAAGATACTTCCTGAAAAATTGAAAAAATTGTATAAAATCCAACAAATACTTATTGTTAATAATTCCATGAATCTGAAATTTTCAGAAACAAAATACAATAATTAACTTTGTTTCTTTTTAATTAAACAATTTCAACATTTTTTTTTAACTAGCAAATTATTAGCTAATAATAATTTCATACATTGTTTTTTAAGGATTATCTGCTAGAGATTTTGTGTTACAATGGAAACACAAGGCTGTCCTGTTATTTAAGTTGCTGCTCTTAGAGAAAAGAGTGATTTTTTTTAAGTCACCCGTGCTTCCTCTTTGTACAACCATTTTAACATTGGTTTCATTATTTCCTGAATTAATTGATAAGGGACTTCATCAATCAGCATGCATAAGGTATAGATAGAAGCTTATTGTACAGACTCTTTTCTAAATATTAACTGAATTTTGTTTAGGTTGTCTAGACCAATGTCCCCTATGCCGGAATTTTCAGATGAAGAAACGCCAGTTACTACTCCTACACATGAAAAATCTTGTTTCAATGATGATTCTAATAAAAAAATTATCACAGATGATAATTTAACTTCCGAATCAAGTGCATATGAAAATCATACAAATAGTCATAACATTGAAAATGCAATCGAAATAACTGAAACAACTACCTTGGACAAAGATGAGAATGAAACTAATGGCGTCTGTACTGTGGGTAGGTTAAAATTTAACAAAAAGGTTTTAAAACTAAAATTAATGGAATGGATTTGCAAAGTTGCAATTAAATACATAATTTCTTGATTTTAAAACAGATACATGTTTTCCCTATGCCTTTATTGAATGTGTATGAGATTTATGCACACTGTTATTACTCAAGTACTATCATCTTGTGTCCACACCATGTTTGCTCCAGTGTTGCAATTTTGATATCTATTTACTGGCTTGTAACGTGAGAGAGATTGTTTTTGTGTTTTCTGTAAAATGACCATTATTAGAATCACATAAAGAATCAGAATTAACCATTTGTTCTATGCTTTATAAACATCACTAAATTGTCTGAACTCATTCCAAAAATCTATAATCAGCTAGGCAGAAAATAACAGGTACACTCTGTCAGTTTTAAATTTAACAGTAATTTCTTTTCTAGGAGACAAAAATAACAGCCTTAGAAGAGATGGAAGCTCTGATACAATTACAGAAAACATACATAATCTGGCATATTTAGCCCAAACCAACACTCAGTCCTGTGGTTTTCCCCTGCCTATATTCACCAAAGGCTCATTGTGCCTGCCATATTTATCACTGCCATATTTAGATTTACTGACAGATATGAATGTTAGAAGTTACATTGTGGGAGCAACTAATGTTTTATTCAAGCAAAAACATCAACTTTACGACATCCTGGTAGATATAGACAGTAATAGAATAGAATGTCAAGATTTTAACTTGAGAAAGTGTCTACATTTAACGACTGAAGATTTGAGGTTTGCCGATTATATAGTGAAACATGTAACTGAAGAGAAACATGACGTGTTTCTCGATGGAGTAGGATGGGAGGGAGGTGATGAGTGGATTAGGGCTCAATTTAAAATTTATCTATTGTGCCTTCTACGGACTTCTCTATTACAAGGTTAGTTTTATTTAGGTTATGGAAAATTCTTTCAAACAGATCAAACAAGATTCGTGGAATCATGAAAAATATCAAATACACACCTAACCAAAAATACAAATATGTGTTTAAATTGTTGAAAATCTTTTTGATTTTACAAGCAAGCCCTCCCCCCTTCATGCTATGATCAACTGTAACTTTGGAGTCTTACCAAGTTTTTTTTTTTCTATTTCTATTCCGATTTATTACAAAGCCACTCATAGCAAAAATGGTAGTTTCAGTTTCTCAATTGTCAATTACTTTGTGTGAATATGAATAAAAATTAACTAGTAAATAATTATTTTTACACATGAAAGGATGACGCACTGTACTCATATACCATGTTCTAGACAGTGCTGTATTCGTAGAAATTACAAATGGTGTACTCTGTAGAAAATACACCGTTCACACGGGGAAAATTTAAATGAAATCGCGTTGAACTAATGTACTTGATGACGTTGCGTAAGAATATTAAAAACTACAAAAAGATAACAATTTCAAATCACATTTTAAATTTTAAGTAAATAAATTCTTCTAATGTATCACATATAGAAACATTTTTGGAAGGGAATGCACACTAGAAGGTAAAAATCAGGTTTGGTCCTCTAGATTTCTTAAATAGTATTACATTCTTTGAATATCTTACATTTTGTACTAATTTGTTTCCTTTTATGGATAGGAGACAGTAAAAATGATAGTTTTCTTTTAACTTTTTATAGTTGGTGGGAGTAGACCATCCTTACTGTAATTTTTTAAAATAATAGTGGACACAAATTTTTAAATATTTTAATCCGATATGTTTTATAAAGACCACTAACAGCTTTCGTTAATAGTTTGGTACTTTATACATCATTTTACAGACATAATTTTAAACCCAAATAATTTTCTAGATTCCTTAAGGGAACTGGAACATTTTAATTCCTGCTTTGTAACAGCTTGGAGAGAAACTCACAACTATAAAATATGGTTCAGTGGGATCAATCCTGGCATTTTGAATTTTGGAGTTGGCCATCCATTTGCTGGACAGTTGTCTGTAGCAGATATGAAACTTCGATTTTCACAGTAAGTGATTAAAAGTGTAGAACCATGTTTTCAGTTTTTTTTAATTATTGCCTATAAGGAAATTTGCTTTATTTCTTTAATTTGTGTAGATATTTTTCGAAATATTTCATATATTGTTTATATGTCTATGTTTTAATTTAAGATTTTTTACGACTTTTAAATACATTGTAGCACCATGCAGAGTACAGAAAGTGGTAGAAAAATTAACCAAGCAATGTCTTCGACAGGTAGAGCAGTAGTAACAACAGGAAAAGCTGTAGGTAAATGAATCATGTTATTTGCTAAGTATTGTTCATTTTCTCAAATTGCTAGTTACAAGATAACATCATCTGTTATTCTCTTAAACCTTTTCAGGCGGTGCAATTTCTCAAGCAAAAGGTGCATTCTCGAGCTGGTGGAACAATTTACTGATTAATCCTGATAATTCTCTTGCCAAACAGGGTGAAGATTCTGAAGAACTTGCAAATCAAGATGTAAACAATACTGAACATAAAATGGACACAAACCTGAGAGAGTCAGATAATTTTGTCATTCCTACCAATAGTATTAATGGTAATTTAGGGACTGATAGTTGTAACAGCATAGAATATGTTGCGAAAGAGATACACCAACCTGGCGAAATACATACAGTTTAGTCCTTATGCTTGCAATTGCAACCCTCAGTAAACATAATTTGGTAACTTTTAGATAGAAAAGTGCATTATAATGCTTCATTTGGTGAATGTTAATGAATACTAAAGCTTGTTTGCTAAATATACAGCAAAAAAAGGTCCTTATGTTAAAATAAAAACATAACATGTTAGAGCAAATATGCAAAAATAGTAAGAAAAAAATAAAAATAAAAAATCACACTTCCATTAATTCATTCATGCGTTTGCTCATAACAAACAGCAGTACAAAAATGTTTTATCTATATTTTTTATAATATAATATTTATTTCACCGAATATACATGAGTGATCTTTTGAACACATATGTACATTTTTTTGCCGAATGTTTAGTAAACAATAGTATAGAAGAGATTACTGTTCTCATTTTCATTTTCTGAGAATGCCTAAATCAAAATGAAAATCCAAATGCTAAATATAACTTTTCTATTTAATGATGCTAATATTACATAGCAACCTGTAGGGTTCTATTTCCCATTTGTACATGCAATATGTAACTGCAGTTTGCTAAAGCAACCACTTGGATTTCATTGACACTATTTTTATTTTGTGTTTCTTCCAGAATACACTGTTGAAACACTTTTGTTATCCACTTTAAAAATACCTGGTGCTATGTAGGTAGCCAAATTTTTCAAAATTTTCATGATAAAGATTATATATTATTATTTATCATTTGTCGATTAAAATTAAATAATTTTTATTTTTTTACAAAAATCAAACAAAATAGCAATAAAACGGTTAAGTGGCATTAATGATGTGAACTTAATTAAGAACAAATTTTTATTTAAAAAAAAGTCTTGCAAAAATTTGACGCAATGTATATTGGAAATTAGCAAATACAAGTATTTACATAAAGTTTTCCTCTTAAAATCACATAAACAATCACCTCATGAAGTTCGGCCACCTACAACACCCAGCATGTGATTATTGTCACCTGAAGCCTTGCCAGTTATTTAAAATGTGTTGCATAATTTTCCAGGGTGGACGTTCTTAAAATTTAGATTTAGTTCGGTGGTTTGGAGCCGGAAGAGGGTGTTTAAGAATAGACGCACAAATTTTGTATAAAAATGTTTGATGTTACCAATTAATTTGTATAGTACAAAAATACCCTGCATAAAAAGAGCTATCAAACTAGACCCGCATTAATATTTTTTCTCAACAACTCTCGATTTTCAGTATTTAATGAATATGATCTTGAATATTTTTTCCAAAGAGTTAGGAACGAAATAGCAATGTCTTATTGTATTGTGTGATTGTTCTTGGTCCAACCACCATAAGCAACAATGAAATTGATTGATAAAAATAATTATATTTAAAACTATACTGTACCAGATATTTGGTTATAATTTAATACTTCTCTTTATTATAAGTTATTTCAAAAAATCTTAAACACGATAATGGTAGATGTTCAGTAAAATTAAGGAAATGTACAGACTGTTAAATTAATTTTTTGCTAGAAACAACTATGTGCAGTGCATGTTTGATAAACTAAAAATCAATCAAAAGCATGCCAAGAAAGTCGAATGGACTGATATGAAATCGTCCAAAATCATAATTGGCAAGATATCAAAAAATAAACGAAAATAAAAATTACTTAACATTTCCTTTTAAGCAGTCTCAATAGTTTTGGTATCTTTTGGTTAGTTTTGGTTTTTCGTTGCCAATCGCTATAATATAATATATATAAGTTTCAGAGATATCAAATAAATTATTATTGTATTTACAGTTTAAAATTGTAACCGCAATTATTAATTATTATTTAAAAAAACTCTAACATAGCGCCATCAACTTTATGGTATTTTAATGAGTAAAGTTGTATTTGTTTAGAAAAATAACGTAACCAAAACTGCTCAATGGTGAAATTTACAGTTTTGAGATATGTCTTTTAGCATGCAAGGCAAAAATATTGTATATGGTTGTTTTTGAAATATTTCTGGTGGTCCAGGACACTGCCTACCAATTTTGTATTTACCGTAGGTGGGGTGCCAAATTATAACCAAATCTCTCTACATATATACAACTTACTTTACAATGATCAAAAGAGCAGGTTAAATTTTGTTAGGGGAAATTTCTTTAGTCAACTTACATTACTTCCTTGATGTGCTAATGTAATTTTAATAATTTGAGCATATAAAAAGGGCACTTTATTGAACACTATTTTGCCTTTTGTAGATTTTGTATAAACTTTGTTATATATTTGTTATTATTTATTTATTTATATTTTTAAGATTTTATATTTTTTTGTTTATATTTTGTACTTATTCTTCTGGGTGGGACATTTCATAATAAAAATAAAAATATATTGGAAAATTACCTTTATATTATGAAACATATTGAATTTCCTATACTAGTTTAAGTGAACTAAATGATAATGTACTAATTTTATGGAAATTTGGATATTGTATATGTATAATGTTCTTAAATGGTTAAGGTTAAGGTTCATGTTTAAAAACAGATCGTCCGATCCATTTAAGAATTTTATCTTCACACCATTACTAGAAGAAAAAAGTAGGCAAAACTTCTCAACTGTTACGCAAATATTTATTGTATAGTATTTGTTATTAAAAATAAATTTGGCATCGTTTAGGATTTCTCGTTTCATTGAGTGTGATGTTTTAGAGACTTAAAGCCAGTAGTTGTTTATTCAATATGTAACCCAATAAACCCTAAGTATTTTGATCAAATCATAACATCTTTATAACTAAACTGGTTTACTCCCCACAATTATTTAAGTTTTTTGTTTGCAGTTTTTATACAAATCTAGGAAATAAGAAAATATCCACAATTTTTAAAATTTCAACTTGTTTGGAGTAAACATAAGTATAAATTGTCATGAGAAACCTGCCAATGTCAGAATTTTTTTAATTGACTAAATCCTACCGCTGAACTAAAAAAAAATAAGTCTAGGTATAATAAATCGTTTCTATGTCTTAATGATTTAAATGTCAATTTAAAAAAAAATGTTGATATTTAATTCTAATACTGCATAAGTACTATATAATTTAAGTTAACACTTAAAATAACAAAACCTCACTTTACCAATGATTAAAATGCGCTAAGCTTTTGAAATAATTCAGAATATGGCAAAGTATATTATAACCAGATTTATCAATATTCTGCAATTTCCTGCAAGGACAACCTGTATATCAAATATCCCCAGTCAGCTGTTTAGTTGTTTTCGTAGTTCAAAGTTCTCAAATCTACTTTAGAAGTTATTTCTTGTTTATGTCACTTGTATATTTTTAAATTGCGGTTCAAATTATTAACCAACACAACTCACAATTTTACCAAATGTCATTCAACTCAAACTGAAGTTTTTGAGTATTAAATGGCAATTAAAATCTAGTAAAATTCAAAAAACTTCCTAATTCTTTATATAGAGACGGAAATAGAGGGCACTTGCGCGCCATTGTGCCGGTATAATAGTTTGTTTATTTTCCCACCGAACATCGTCGATTTCTCGACAGCCCTGTCACCTACGTCCGTAAAATCCGTACTACTGCTTACATCCGTGCTCTTCTATGCAAAACATTTACAAAGTAGATCAATCTGTGATCTTCAGTAAACGCATGTCAACTTATTTTTCCCAATTAATAATCATTAAAATCGAAAAACTGTTAAACCGTAAAAAAAGACGGGCAGTCGTTCAAAGTTGAATCTTTAGATTGTGTTGTTGATCAAAGAGATTATACAAAATGACTGTAAAAGAAAATAATATATGGATAATTACCAGTCAGTCGCCATCTTTCTCGCGAGTTTTTCTCTGAAGATATTTCGGGATTTTAATCGGGGTGATTATGATATTCGATTGAATAAGTGTTGTTAATTTTTAGTGACATTCTTGGACATTTTGTTGACGTGTTTTGAACCGTGGTTGAACGAAAGGTAAGCAGGATTAATTTCGTAGGACATCTTCGTTTTATTTAACGATACTTGGTATGTATGTACAAATACCTACATGGCAGGTCTATTTAATTTAATGCTGTTGTGTGGCCATTACGATTTTGTTCTAATTGTGTTCGTTCAAAAGCGGTAGGACTTCCTTAGGTTAGTGGGTGATGGTATTGTTTATTTACATAATTTTTGCTGATTGTCTGAATTAAGCTGTTTCAAATTTCTTTGAAGCATTTCTAAAAGTTGATCCTATTGGCACCTCTACGTAGGCAAATGTTACATTAAGTATTTTTTAGTAGACACGTACCCACATACAAAAAAAATTATAATATCGGGCTATATCCCTCTATGACTTGACTGCTTTTTATTTTATTAAAAAAGATATATTTCTGCATTCTGCATAAAATTGTTTATGTGTAAGCCAGGTTTGCATCGTCTTTATTACAAAAACTTTTGATCAAACTGTACAGTTGTTTAGGTGTTAAGATTTGTAAGTTTAATTTACATAGCTACCTCGAAAGGATTATTTTAGAATTGCTTTTTGTTAAATTAAATGGTTTGGATATCCGTTTGGATACTTGGTATGTATTTGACAATCGTGAATAACGTGAGTAGCTGTGTAGTTTTGAGTATTTGTTACTTATTATAACAAACGCAGAAATGATTTTGAATATGTAAAAAGAAACAGACAGGTATCAATTTGACATCCATCTGTTCTACTTTTGTCGCCTGATACGTTTTTTGTGAATCGCAAATGGCAATATTTTTAATCGTTTTGTTTTTCGCGTTTTTGCAATACCAGACCTTCTTATTTTTCTACATAGTGACATTTTGTATGTACATAAGTTTTTCCAAGTATTCTTTTTTTCTATGACATCAGTCATTTTTATCACAATCGTAAACAATTTATCCGAGCTTGCCCTCAAATGGAGTTACCACCTAAAGCATATCTTAAAATTATAAGTAAATTGGATCCTAAATTTTCAGACATATTGACTCCGTTATGTATATTTCATTTTCAACCGAATCGTTTTAAATAGTGTAAAATTCGTTTTGTTTCTCTGTCAGATTCGAATGGGGTACCGAAAAGACAGGTGGCAAAATGGCAGATAACCGGTGTTACTCCGGAGGCGGTAAGTCCAATTTCGTTATATCGATTGCCCCCGCCCCCTCTTTCCGCGCGACCCTTCAATGTTACTGGATATCTCGCCCCTCTCGCGGCGCCAGCTTCCTTTTCTTATATTCATCCTTTACTTAAGACACCAAAATCACCGAGGTTTATTGATCACGAAGAAAACGTTGACGGGCAGGGAAGTAGAGCCGTTTCGTTCAGAATTGAGGTGATAGGATGGTTATACATGTTGCCCTTATCTATACTGTGTTATTTGCGGCCGGGCACTTCGACCATAGTGTTCTAGAAAATATACAAATAGCTACCTAACTGCATAAGGAAACGGCCGCATCTCTGCAGAGTTTTAAATTATTTGACCTTGCAAAAGAAAAACGTCAAATTTGGATTCAATTAAGCAGCTATTAATATATATATATATATATATATATATATATATATATATATATATATATATATATATATATATATATATATATATATATATATATATATATATATTTCTTGAAAAGTTAAATATGTCGTTCCATTTAACAAGTCAAGTTCTATTTGAAAGTACCAGTACGATGGTTTTAACGATATATTATTCTGCTACCATTTAGGGTTAAGGTAAACATCGAGAGAGGCACTTATTTTGATCGTAGAATCAAACATATATAGAGGGTACGTTTTTTTAACACAACTATAATATTTTTAACATATTTGAAACCACCTGTGAATGTGTACTGTGAAAGTAATTTCATAATTCAAGGGGCTATTATCTTTTACAAATTCCGTTATAGGAACCTTTGATTTTTGTCACGCATGAAATGTTGGTAATTATACCAATTGAAGGTGTTTCTACGCATTTTAAAAGTTCTTAGCCTTTGGAAATATTTTTTTCCTTAAGAAGGTAAGAAAATTATATTTTTCTACTTCTGATGTAATATTTAAATATCATCAAACAATATCAAACTGTTATACTGGAAATAAATCAACATTTTTTGTTGAAGTAAATGCAATATCGACATTGACTATGAGTTGCTTCCGTGCTTAATTTGCATCATATTTGCGTCGCACGCACGCAGGTACGGATTTTTTGGACAGCTCAAAGCAGCACATTACACAATACTAAATATGTAAATTTGGCCCTATAGCCCAGAACTATTCACTTCTCAAGATTGTGCTAGAGCTCTGGTAACTGACAGACCGCTGTTATCATCCGAGAACACTTCACGTAATAACGCAACAACAGAATAATCAACCTATTAGTCAACTCCAAACGTCTCCTGTTATCACCATGCTTACTAAAACTTTTTCGTAAAGCAGAAATAACCAAGAGAGACGGAAACAGAACTCTAAAAAGTAAAGAAAATGGTGTCAAAAGAAACCTAACTGAAGCAAGAAAAAGGGAAGAACTCACAAGTCAGAAAATTCACAACCCAATATTGCAACGAAAATTCTGATCGGTGCGTACTTTGGCGTTATAAGTTTATTTATTAAGGCGTAGGTTGATTTTTGTTTATTTATATACTGCTGATATATATAAAATGTTATTAGTGAAATTCAGTTGTTCTTGTTTTTATTACGTTTTTGGGTTCTAATTTTTGAAACTTTATGTATATATGATTTCTTGAGATAGTTTGGAGATAAAAATTGAAAATTTTGCTAAAAACTTTGATCACGGAAATAATTAGCTAACATTCAACCATTTTTCAAAATGTATACATGTAAATCAAGCGCCAATTTGAAATGGAACCCCATGTATTTTATTGCGGCAATAAAATGATTCATTCATGATCTAAATGTATTATAACATACTATACTTTGTTTGAACCGTTTTATTCATTACATTTATATTCATGTTTATCTTGAACAATAGAACCAAAAATCTTTAAGTACCAATGTAATATTTCGAAAAATCAGTGGCTGCTTTAAAAAGACTCAATTTTATTGCATAGCTAACTTGATTGCCGAATTATTAAAACTATGAACCTCAGAATAATGCTCATAGCATAAAATTATGGTCGACTGCGTTTTGGTTGTTTAGCTTGATCTATTTTAGTATGTATTCCTTTACTTTTTGGTTAGCTTTCCACCCAAATTTGCAAACTAACCAAAACTAAAAGTGCCTATGGGTTAAATTGATAGTTTTTCGGAATAATGGTTTTGAAGGTACCTATGAAAATTAACAATATTTTTGAAAACATCGTTTTGGGATGACAAATTGTGTAATACATTTACCTCAATCTCTGCTAAAGATTATTGATTGAATGGTATAATGGCATTGGATACCTAAAACCCACTTTATTTAAAAATAAAACGAGAAGAAAACAATTTGTTTAAATTTGTTAAAATTGATGTCTTTCGGAACCAATAACTATTAACCTCAACATGTCGACGCAGTTGTTTTTGATTTAGCCATTGGGTTTCTACCTTGTTAGCGGTTAGCCATTATCAGTTTTGGTTATCGCTTTTGTTCTTATTTATACGTGAAGCGGATAAAAGAGTATTTTTCTTTGTTTGCAATAAATTGTTGTTGCTGACTAATGTTTTTGCTGATTTGATTTCATC